GCGGGAGCCGATGGGCGGTCCGCCGGGCGTGCCAGGCAGCGGATGCTTGCGCGGCCGACCGCGACCACGATGCGGCGTAGGTCCCGGCGTAGCACCGGGCGTTGCAGGTGTGCCTGGTGTAGCTGGTGTGGCTGGGGCTTTGGCGGCGGGCGTCGCTGCTGCCGCTTTGGCTTTCGCCTTGGCCTTGGACGGCCGTCCTGGTCCCACAGGGGTCGAGGGCGTGGCTGGCGCGTTAGCCGGGGTGGAAGTGGACGGCGCGTACTCAGAGGCTGGAGCAGCTGCCACTCCGGGTATTGGCACACCGTTGGGTCGAGGTGCAATGACGGGCGGTCCTGGCGCCGTTGCGAACGGAGAGGCGGGCGTGGAGTTGAGCGGCGGCGAGGGAATGACGAGACCGTTGGCGCCTGCTGGAGACATGGGCAGTGGCAGACCTTGGGGCAAGGAGGCGCCGGGAGGAAAAGGAAACCCGGGAGTGCCTATTGGTGTGCCGACCGCAGAGTACGGGCTGGGCACCGGAAGCGATGAGGGAATGGCAACCGACAGAGGGATGCCGGCATCGACGGGCGGCTCGCCACTCGCTGGTGTCGCAGGCGGCAGACCTGTCGTCGAACCTGATGGCCCTGCAGCCGAAGGCGCTCTGGTGCTCGGTGCTGGCGGCTTTGGTGGTTCTGGTGGGGGCGTAAAGATGCCGATGCGGTGGCGCGCCTCTCTTTCCTTTTCCAGCTTTGCCGCCTTTGCCGCGGCCCTCTCCTGCTGACGCTTGATTCGCTCGAGCTCGCGTTCCTTTTCGCGCTCGCGTTCGATCTCGTCGGTGATGGCGAAGCTGAGCTTGATTGTGGCGGACGAGACGGCGACGTCGATGTCCTTTGTTTCTTCCAACGCCTCGAGCTTGGCCTTGAGCGCCTTGAGCTCGTCGATCTGTGCGAGCACCTGCTCGCGGTCGTCGAGATAGGCGAATCGCTCGAGCTGCTCGAGCATGATGCCCGTGTTGGGCGCGCGTCGATGCGTGCTGTCGAGAGCGGTGAGTGTGCGGCGGAAGCGCGAGGCGAGCTTGTCGCGCCGCGCCAGGACCGACTCGGCGTAGTCAAGGGATGGGAAGGTCGGAAGCGGTACATTGGGCAATGGCGTTGGCAGGCCGAGCTCGTTGAGAACGTCATCGCTGTCCGGATCGCTCGGTGCTTTGAGAGTTGACTCCGGCAGGTCTTTGTCGGTCTGCTCGCTCTTTGGTGAAGTTTGAGCATGGTGAGCGATGCGCCTGCGTTTGCGACGCCTGACCTCGGCATGGACGGGGTCGTGCTTCAAGCCGAGCGAGTGGAGGAGGTCGTGGTGCGGAATGTTCCAGACGTGGTAAGGCAAAAGGCGACGGACGGCATCGCGAGCGTCTGCGAATGGCGAGAGGTCGGGGCGGAGGATGGCTCTGTGGTCGTGCTGGAGGAGTTCGTTGACAAGTGAGACCGCTTTGGCGTGCTGCTGCGCTTTCGAGTCACGGGGTCCATCCAGCTCTTCGTCCTTGGTCATTGATGCGCCTGGGATGGCCAAAGCGTGCGCTGCGACGGCGGCAGAGTCATCCTCGGGCTCTTGCTTGACGGCGATAGTAGAAAGGGGGGCATCGTTGCTGGTGTGCAGCGGGGTGGGTGGCAGCGGTGACGTCAACGTGGACGCTTGGTGAGCACCAGCTGGCCCCGCAGGCAGCAGGGCGGTCGGATCGATGGTCAGCGGAGCATGGGCAGGAGTGGATGCAGCGGTGCCAGCGATGTTTTGCTGAGAGGTCGGGGTGGAGACCGATGAGGAGGCTTGCATGCCTAGGCAGCTATTTCGAGCGAGGGCGAAGCCAGGACGACACAAGGACGGCAAAGACGACCTTGGCGCTGCTCCGTGCCTGCGTGAGATGCGGCGGCCAGATGAGCTTTCGATGCGCACCAGGCGGCCGACTGGATGGTGATGAGGAGATGGGTGGGCCAGATTGCCGCGAAGCTAGCAGAGTGTGAGCACGAATCTCGTCGCGACGAGCGCGCGCTCTCCGTGGGCGACGGGCGCCTGCTTGCGCGCAGGGATGGCGCGGTGGTGTCGAGGATGCGGGCGTGGATGCGGGCGTGACTGCGCCGGGTCGACGTGCTGCTGCTGCTCGTTGGTCCGAGATCGGATGTCGGCTTGCTTGATTGGTGTTGGTTTGGCTGGGCTGCTCGAGCTCCTGCTGCTTTTGCTTTCGGGCTCGCTTTGGTGACGAGAGGAGAAAAAAGAGCAAACGCTCCCCGGTGGTTGCGCTCCACTCACTCACTCTCTTCCGCCAAACCAGCAGCCTCGACAGCTCATTTGGCTCATCGCACCGCACACTCTCCACCGCCGATCTTCCATCTCTCTCTCTCTCTCTCTCTCTCT